TTTGAGAGTTTTTTTGCTATAGGGCGCGTGCGCTCGCCAGACATACAGAGAGACAGAAAGCGAGAAATCACCCCCCAGGAGGGATGGCCATTCCGCAATCCCTTCTCCTCCCCTTCTCCTCCTCTCAGGATCTTGGGCACGCATGCACACATGCCTGGCTTGAGTTTTAAGCCACCGGGTCTGGAACGCGAACCGCGGTCAACTACATGGGAGTCCAGTAACATAGCCATTACCTAACTGCTGGTCCCCACCCCATGGGAGGCTTCTGTACTCATTTGTCCTCTGCTCTGCTGCAACCTCTCCCTTCTCCCTTCTTCATCAGACTAACTCAGACTCATTCCCCTAGTTTCCACTCAGTTTACACTTCCCAGGGAATGTCTATCTCCTCAACTGAGCCTGTATCACTGTGTCCTTGGGGATGAACACCAGGGAAGAGCTGGACTCTTCTCTGTCGCCTGCGAGACTGAAGGAAAAAAAGGCTGCCCAAGGGTAGCCATTCCACCACGTCCCTGGTTGGATTTCCTCTGGTCCCATGACTGGCAAAGCCTCCCTCAAACACATAAAAGACAAAAGAAACATCATTTGAGGTTCTAAAAGTTTTTCTCTTCCTGTCTCTCCATGTGCACACCCAGGAACAGCAAGACCCAGAGCCCAGGTAAGAAGATAAAGGTCCATACCAAAAGTCTCATTGAAGGCAGAACCGGTCTTCAAGCCCCGCACCTGCGCGCTTGAACAGCATTGGCCACGTGACTTGCAGCAGCAGCGCATGCGCACAACGATTATTCGGCAAGATCACTCCATCCCTGCCTGTATGTTGCAGCTGCGCATTTCAACCTGGGACACTTAAGAGCAGGAAGCACTGCAGTTTCACGAGGCTGGACTGGAGCTCACCTGGGCTCTTCCAGAAGCTGGTGGTATCCCAGCGTACTGGGCACTACACATTGACATCCTCTCACTGAGCGATTGCTATGGCTTTGTGCTGTAGGTGTTGCTGTGCCCACTTTACAGACAGGAAAACTGAGGCCCCTGTGTACCTTAGAACTTGTCCAAAGACACGTGCTATGACAGTGCTGTGATTTGAACCCATATTTCCCTGGCTCTCAAGTGCTCAAGCTTTCTGGAGTGCTCCCATATCCAAAGTGTAATTGCTTCCATGAGTGAGTTCTTTCTCTCCTTCCATGGTAACCCTGAGCCAGCTACCAGAAAGAGTTCATATCCTGGCTCTATAACTTTGGGCAAGTCATTCACTCCGAGACTCAGTTGCATCATCTATACAATGGAAACAGCATTGCCTGATTCTCATTCCATATGAAAATGAACTCTTTTGGGCTGGTACTATGGTCTAATGGTTAAGGGAGCTAGATCTCATGTGGCTGATCACAGTTCGAATCCCAATCCCACATGCCATGTGTCCCAAATCGCAATCGGATGGAGAAATGGAGGAGGGATCGTGTTGTGACCGTGCCCGAGGAAGGGCTTTTCCCTCTACCTCTATACCTCTCTGTCTCTCTGGAGAGCACACACACCCTCTGGCAATAAAATAACTTTTTAAAAATCTGAACTCTTCCAAGACCAGGAGGTGGCACAGTTGGTACTGCAACTGGACCCATATGAGAAAGGTCTTGGGTTCACATCCTGGGACCTCCCTGGGCATGCCAGCTGAGACTGGTGGTGGATGGTGGCAGGAAGACCCTATTGAGGGTACTCTCTCTCATGAAATAGATAAAAATAAATAAACAACAACACTTTTTAAAAAATTAACTCTTCCAACAAAAATGTAGTAATGCCTGGTGCTGATTCCTAGGTATGTGCCAACAAAAGAGCTCATGTAATTACATGAGATGTGTGAGCATGCTAATAAACCCCAAAGTCCCATCAGAGAGTGTTCTAGAAACCTGGGCAAGGCTGGATCTATTTCCCATTAAGAACAGATGAGATCTAAAAATGGGCTTGGCATCCCCAGTGAGGCCTGCAGTTCTGTTCAGGCTTTCCTCGTCGGAAAGTGGGCAGCTTTGCTGTGGCTTTCTCACAGCTGGGTCTGGAGGAAGAGGAAACAGCCTGTCACAGACAGGTATGGGCACTTTTTGCTCCACTGCAAACATAAAGAATCAGGAAGAGGGAGCCACCAAGTGGCGTGAAGGTTAAGGTGACTGTACTCCATATGGTCAACAGTGCGATTTGAGTCTGGGACCCAGCTGCTTAAAAAACATGTCAGGTAAGTGTGCGTGAGTGTCCAAAATCCCAACAGGAGAATGAAGGAGAAGGGGTTATCGTGTGGTTGTCCCTCCTGGGGGGTGATTTCTCACTCACTTTCTCTCTCTCTCTCTCTCTCTCTCTCTGACAAGCACACACACGCATCCTATGGCAAAACTTAAAAAAAGCAGCAGAAAGGCAGACATTTTGCTAAAATGTCCCATCTTCGTCTCCTAAACACATGGAAAGGCTCGTTCACACAGATGCATCTGCTCAAAGTCCCTAACACAGATACAAGAGTGCTGGCACGTGGCTGCTCTCAGGCTTCAACACTTTGCACAGAGATGTCTTGTCTGGGGGAACAACATCAAGGCAGGCCTCATCTGGCTCTCCTTTTTTTTTCAGAGAGATGTTTGCTATAGGGTGTGTGTGCTTACTGGAGACACAGAGAGACAGAGAGAAAGAGAGAAAAATCCTCCCCCAAGGGGAGTGGCCATGCTCCTCCATTCTCCTCTTGAGATTTTTGGGCACACATAAACATGCCCCCAGGGTGAGCTTCAAGCTGCCAGGTCCAGGGCTCAAATTGTGGTCAGACATGTGGAAGGCTAGTGCTTTAACCATCATGCTATCTGCTGGCCCCATCTCCTTTTTCTGAAAAAAAAAAAAAAAAAAAAAAGAAACCTCAAGAGCCAGGATGATGATGAGATAGAGTCTTACACCATCCTAACTGGGAGGCTATAGACTCCAGAGACGTGAGACCCCAAAAGAGCTGCCCTAGGTCACCCAGCAAATATGTGAACATCTCAGTGAATTCATGCAGCCAACAAATAGTTATTGAGAGCCAACTATGTAGCAGGCACTGTTTAAAGCTCTAGGGATACAGCAGTGTAAACACAGACAAAAGTTCCTGTTTTCCCAAAGCTGACATTGTAATAGAAGAAAGACAATAAAAAGATAAATTAGGCCCCAGCCTCAGTGAATCAGTCAATAGCATGCAGAACTGCAGTGCTGAAAGCCATGTGGCTGCCCACAGGTTCGGATCCCCAGTTGACCTGAAAATACTCTGGGTCCATAGGCATCCAAGAACCTATGAACTGGATGTCTATGAGGGATTGTGGCATAACAAGACTCTGTCGAGAATGACTTTCTCTCTCTCACATGCGTGTGCACACAGTCTCATGAATTAAAAAAAAAAAGACCAAATTATCAATCTACACAGTATGCTAAATGACAGTAAGTGCTATGGAGAAAAAAGAGAAAGGGAAAGGAATAAGGAGTGTATTGCATCTGTGTGTGTGTGTGTGTGTGTGTGTGTGTGTGTGTGTGTATGTGTATCTTTTTTTTAATTGCCAGAGGGTGTATGTGCTTAACAAAGAGAAACAGAGAAACAGAGAAACAGAGAAACAGAGAAACAGAGAGGGAGGAAGCACTCCCCACAACTGGGGCATGGTCGTGCTGAAATTTATTTTCTCCGTTTCTCCATCCTGTTTGGATCTGGACCATGCATGTACATGCACCAGGCATTTTTTAAAGAGGTTTTTGCTATGGGGCATGTGTGTTCACCAGAAAGACAGAGAGAGACAGAAAGTGAGAAATCGCCTCTAGGGGGGATGGTCATGCCGCAGTCCCTTCTCCTCCATTCTCCTCTTGGGATCTTGGGCACGCACCTGGCATGAGTTTAAGCCACCGGGTCCGGGACTTGAACTGTGGTCAACTACATGAGAGTCCAGAGACATAGCCATTACGCCAACTGTTGGTCCCCCGGAATTTTTTTTTTTTTTTAAGCCATGGGGGCCAGGATTCGAATCACAGTCAACCATGTAGGGTCCAGTTCCCTTGAACACTAAGCTACAGGGCTGGTCCATGCTTGGGTATGATTCTGAGTAAAATGGTCTGGGGAGGCCTCACTGAGAAGCTAGCATCTGAGTAAAAACCTGAAGGAGGTGAGGGAGGCCAGGTCTAGTATCCGAGGGAAGCGTCGCAGGAGGAGGAAGCCAAGCAGAGACCACAAGTCAAGAATGTCCCCATGTGTTCGCAGGAGCAGTGAGGAAGACACAGGGGTGACGTGAGTGGGGCGGAGGTAGGAAGTAAGAAAGAGCAGGAGCCAGGGTGGCCCACTGTGGGGACATAGACTTGTTCTGCAAATGAGGCAGAGAACCTTGGAGAGCTAGCAACAGAGAACTGACACAGTCTGACCAAGTTAAAAAGCCTTGGGCCTGGCGCCAGTAGATGGCGTAGCAGTTATGTTCCTGGATCCCACATGGCTGATCGTGGTTTAAGTCCCAGACCAGGCTGCTTGAAACTCATACCAGGCACATGTGCATGCGTGCTCAAGATCCCAAGAGGAGGGGGGACCAGCAGTTAGCGTAATGGCTATGTCGCTGAACTCCCATGTAGCCGACTACAGTTCGAGTCCCAGACCCAGTGGCTTAAACTCATGCTGGGTGCGTGTGCATGCGTGCCCAAGATCCCGAATGGAGGAGAAGGGATTGCAGTGTAGCCATCCCCTTGGGGGGCGGGGTGATTTCTCGCTTTTTATCTCTCTGTCTCTTTCTGTCTTTCTGGCGAGTGCATGCGCCCTATAGCAAAAACCTCTCAAAAAAAGATTCACAAGAAAAAACCCCCAAAAAAAAAAAAAAAAAAAAAAGATCCCAAGAGGAGAATGGAGAAAAAGGAATTGCAGCATAGCCATACCCCGGGTTGGGGGGAGCGTGATTTCTTGCTTTCTGTCTCTCTGGTGAGTGCATGTACCCTATAGTAAAATCTCTTAAATTTTTTTAAACAAATAAATTAATTAAAGGAAAAAAAGCCATAGGCCAGCTGCAGTGGCACTTCAGCAACACAGTACTCTGCGAAGCCGAAGCTACATGGGAAGCCCCAGGTTCACATCCCAAGGTCTCCCAGGACATGCGGGGCACCCACACATGCCTATAATCCTGGCCGACGGAGACTGGGGGTGGATCTCAGTGTGAAGACTTTGCGGGTACCTGTCTCTCTCTCTCTCTCATAGAAGAAATAATCTTGCTGGGGGAAAAAAAAAAAAAAAAAAAAAAAACTCACCGACATCATAGCCTGGGGGAGAAAAAAAAAAAAAAAAAAAAAAAACCTGAGCCAACTGAAAGCCTGGTGGTTAACACAGCTAGATCCCACATAGCCGACTCACAGTTGGAATCCCACACATGTACAAGCATGCCCAAAATCCCAGCAGGAGAGAGAAATAGAGGAGAAGGGATTGCATATGACCATCACCCATGGGGGATGCTTTCTCACTTTCCTTCTTTCCCTCCCCAGGGAGTGCCTGTGCCCTCTGGGGGGAAAAAAAAATTTAAAAGCTCGAAGCTATGTCCATTTATACTCTCATTCATTCATTCATTCATTCAGGGTTCTCAGGTACCAGGCATTCTGCTGATAGCAAGTTAAACACCCCTAAGGTGACCCAAGGGGGCACCTGAGTGTGTACTTTGTGCTAATTGGTGAGTCCACAGCAAGGAGAAGGAGACTCCTCCGCAGTCTTGCCTTCAGCCCCCACCCAACCCCACTGCCCTCCTGTCCTCACCCTGCAGCCCAGAGAGAAGGGCCCCAGGTAGCTGCAGGGCTCTGTGCTCAGGAGGCTGCAAGAAGCTGCAGGTTATAAATAGCATCTCCTGCGGCAGGGACTCGAGCTGCTCCGTCCGAATGAGTCAGAGGCACAGAGCCACAGTCCCCCAGACTGCAGCCTCACTCCTCCAGCCTACCCTGGGCTCCCTCTCTGACCTCTCAACCAAGGTCAGGCCTTTGCTGATCACCTTGACCCTCTCCGACCCTGTCACTCCCCAGTTTTCTCAGTTCTTCCTCTTGGAGCACCAGCAAGCCCACTGGTTCATTGGTTCTGAGAGGTAGGAGAGGGTAATATTTTTTTTAATTAATTAATTAATTATTACTTTAGAGAGAGTTTTGCAATAGGGCACGTGTGCTCACCGGAGAGATAGAAACAGAGAGACAGAGAGACAGAAAGTGAGAAATCACCCCCCCAGGGAGGATGACCATGCTACAGTCCCTTCTCCTTCATTCTCCTCTTGGGATTTTGGGCACATACACACACACCTGACTGAGTTTTAAGTTGCCAGGTCCGAGACTTGAACTGTGGTTGATTATGTGAGAATTCAGCGATGTAACCATTATAAGATCTGCTGGTCCCAGGATCACATATTTTATACTTCCTTTTTTTAAGAGATATTTTTGCTATAGGGCACGAGCACTTGCCAGAGAGACAGAGGGATGGAAAACAGTAAATCATCCCCCCCGAGGGGAGGTGGCCACATCACAATCCCTTTTCCTCCATTCTCCTCTTGGGAT